ATGTGAAAATAACTAGATTCAGCATTTCATTTTCTGTTCTGTTTATGAAGTATTTTTCATTTATGCTGATGGTAGGTTTCCATGTTCCCAATGTTCACATGAGCTTTGTTTGGGAAACGCAGGTGTTGTGCAGGTGTTGTGCAGGTTATGAAGAGCTTGTAACACTGTGTGTTCACATGATATTTAATTTCTTCCTTGCTGGAAATTCAGGGAGTCTCTAAGTTGGTAATTGGTTCAGTCTGGCCTTTCTAGACACATGGGAGATGGGAGTGACTGTAATAGGTATTGTTTTGGTAGCTATTCTTATATGTAGCTAAAGAATGAAACCAAAAGAATTAAGAATGCTGTTTGTTGTACAGTACAAAGCTGCTTTGTTTCACTTCTCTCTTTATGTTCTTCAGACAAGTTGCAGAACTTAAAAACTCCTTATGCAAACTGGCCCTGTGTTATCTTCAACACACTGAGCCCTGTCACAAAGGTTATAAATTGGTATCCAGCTGTTTAAATTATTCCAGCTGTTGCTTTGGGTTCTCTTTCCCATTATGTCATTTTGAAGAAATGATAGCTTTTGGTAGTGGGCCACTTTAAGATAAATTCAATCCATGGTAATTTCAAAAGGTAGAAATAGCCTTTTGTCCAAAACCAGAGTGTAGGACTGATTTGTCTGTTGTTCCAATGGTCATTTATTCTGTACTGTACTTAATGAACCAGTTTCAATAAATGTAAGAACACACTGTGCAATCGATATTTAAGCAATAAAATAAACCAAAATTTAAAAAGAATCTTTGCCAAGGTGTCAGTTAATTTTTATTGCTCACAATTCAGATGTCAAGGACATCATTTTTTGGCATTTAAAGTGGGCCTCATTTAACACACCGTTTTGTTTTGTTTTGCAAATGTTACAGCATTGCAACATTATTAAACTAGTACATTTATTTACTATTAAACCATTTACTTAGTATTAAACCACTGCTGTTTACTAAGACCACCAGAATTTGACAATGCAACAATACCAAAACAATTTCCTAATAGCAAATAAGCTTAAAGAAAATAACTAAGCTGTGCTTTTCAGCTCTGCCTCCCTGGTTAGAAAACCTGTTGGATTTGTAGTTTGAGTTGAGTGACTGACATTACCTACCTGGACTTGTGCAAAGCATTTAACACTGTCCTGCATGACATCCCTGTCTCTAAACTGAAGGGACATGGGTTTGACTAGTGGCCCACTTAAGGAATTGGCTGGATGGTTGCACTCAATGACTCAATGTCCAAGTGAAGACTAGTGACAAGGGACTTTCTTCATGGGTCTGTATTGGGACTGGGACTTTTTAGCCTTTTTTTCCATGGCACGGACTGTGGGATTGAGTGCACCCTCAGCAAATTGTCCAGCGACACCAAAATGTGTGATGCGGTCAACACTCTGCAGGGAAGGGATGGCATCCAGGAGGACCTCAACAAGCTTGAGAGATGGACATGTAAAACTCATGAAGTTCAATAAAGCCAAGGGCAAGGTCATGCACCCAGGTCAGGGAAATCCCAAGCGCAAGTACAGGCTGGGAGGAGAATGGATCAAGTGCAACCCTGAGGAGAACTTTAAAGTGTTGGCGGATGAGAAGCTCAATATCTTGGCAATGAATCAAGTGCAACCCTGAGGAGGACTTGAAAGTGTTGGTGGATGAGAAGCTCAATATCTTGGCAATGTGCACTTGCAGCCAAGAAAGCCAGCTGTGTCCTGGGCTGCATCAAAAGCAGCATGGGCAGCAGGTCAAGGGAGGTGATTCTACCCCTCTACTTTGATTTGGTGAGACCCTACCTGGAGTGCTGCATCCAGCTCTGGACCACATCTCCTGTGGAGACAGACTGAGAGAGTTGGGGCTGTTCAGCCTGGAGAACAGAAGGCTCTGAGGACACCTTAGAGCACCCTCCAGAAAGCTGGAGAGGCACTTTGGACAAAGGCATGTAGTGATTGGACAAGGGAGAATGGCTTTAAGCTGAAAGAGGTCAGGTTTAGATTTAGACATTAGGAGGAATTCCTTACTGTGAGAGTGCTGAGGCACTGGAACAGGTTGCCCAGATGTGGGTTGTGGATGTCACATCCCTAGAAGTGTTCCAGGCCAGGTTAGCTGGAGCTTTGAGCAACCTGGTCTAGTGAAAGGTGTCCCTGCCCATGGCAGGGGAGTTGGAACTAGTTGGTCTTTAAGGTCCTTTCCAACCCAAACCTCTGATCCTCTGACACCAGACAAGGAGTGACAGAAGTGGCAGCCACTGCAGTTTTAAGACTAAACAAAGTGACCTGTTAAAAGTTACTTTCTGGATACTGGGAGAGTTTCTGAAGTTTTTGCTTCAGTGTTCAGTTTATTTGAAAGACTAAAGGTTCACAGTTCTAGTGATACTATGATCAAGATGACCAGTACTGAACAGTGCTGGTTTTCAGAGTTCATGTCTTCATAAGTTATGGCATTTATAAAATCATGTTCCAGAATCTTTACCATCTCGCAAGCAAAGAATTCTGTGGTTGAAAAGTTAAAATAATTAATTGAAGTAGGAGTAAGTATTGAAGTGGGAAATATTTTTAGATTAGTAAGTAGTAGATTAGTTGTTCATTTTTGAGAAACAACTAGGTCAGCTGTGCCCCAAATCTCTGAAAAATGTGAGAATAAGAGAAGAAAGAAAAAAGCTATGCTAAATGTCTCCACTTGATCTGCTTGTCATTTTTTAATTATTTTAGCACTGATCTCTGAGAATGAATAAATATAACTAATCATAGCTAGATTAAAGGCTTCTCTTTATCAACACAATTCATGTGGTAGTAATTATGGCACAACTTGGAAGTTAAATTCTTCCTGTGAGAAGAGATACTGGAAAAAAAGCCCAAAGGAATTCACAACAACATTGCCTGAATAAGAGCTTATTTATATTGCAATCTCACTGTTACTTGGTCGATTCAAATGATCCATTCCTATCTCTGCAATCAGAAAATTCAGTGTTGCTGAGTGAATGTGTGCATATGTTATTTGCATAACCAGGAAGGTAATGTTGGTTTCTAATAATGAGCAGAAAGGAGTGAGGTTTTATTTTAAGGTGCAGTGTTCAGAGCATTCTCTCGGCAGAGAACTGAGCTGGTGTTATTACACAGCAGGCACTTCATTCACTTGTTTAAAGGGCAGTTTTTTCCATTTTCAGCTCATTATCTCACTTTTTCATTGCCATTTTTATTTATAAAGGCTGTGAAATATAAAATAATTTTTCATCCCTATGGTAAAAGGCTGGTAAAAGTTCCAACATAATGCAGATCTCATCCTAGGACAAAAATTGGCATTTTGCAGTTGCATCATTTTGCTTCAGTACTGAGATGTTCTCTTTCTGTACAGCATAAGGGAGGGAGTTAATTAAATCTTGTCTGCAGATAAAATTTCTCATATCACTTAACTGTCCTCTCTGCCTGGGATTTTGTTCTGGGATTTTTTCACTACAGCTGATGGTGTAGCCAATAGAATCCATTGGGATTCCTGTTGCTATATACCTTTGGGGTTTGTGTTCGATTTGGGGAGGTTTTTCTGTGGGTTTTTGGTTTTTTTCATTTTGCACTGCACTAATCCTTTTAATGTAGGAATAATACTGAAGGGGCACCAGCCAGAGGTTTATAGAATATAAACTGCTCATCCAAGAACATTAACTGGCATTTTTCACCTGCTGTTCTCGCACCATTCAGTTTGCACAAGGAGATCAAATGCTGAGGTTTAGTTAACTGCTGCATGATCTGGAAGAACACAGGTAGCATCTCTGTATCCAGCATGAGGATACTGCCATTGATCTGTAAGGAATACTTTGGTGACAAATTTCAGCCCTGTGGAACAGATGATAGAGAAGAAATCCAGACCTTTCTGAGCAGCTGAATCACTGGAAACTTTGTAGCAATGTTTTTTGTTCTAAGAAATGTTAGTGAGTCATAGAATTACATAGAATGGTTTGGGTTGGAAGGGACATCTGAAGGCTTGTCACAGCCTGATATTACCCCTCTTTTCATTCAATTCTAATTAAAAGCCTGTCAGTCAACTCTGATAGCAAAGACCCTCTTTGCCCTGTGAGAAAGATTAATCCCATCTGACACCAGCAGGCCTGGTGCCATGCTGACCATCCCATTAGTGAAAAAACCACCAAATTCTGGCAGTGACACCAGACATGGAGCCATGTATAGACTGGGTCCACCTGTTTCTTCCAGTATCAGTACCCACAGCTGGAAGGACAGAGCTAAAAATGGCCTCTGCTCCACATTCCCTTACCAACCCTCCCAAGGTGTTGAAGCCTCTTTGATCACCCTTGGGCCATGTGTTGTGGTTTCATCGCTCTCCATATGGAAAAGCAGTTACAGGTAGTAGTCCAAGGGCTATACCAGACTGGGATATTCCCTAGTGATGTCCTTAACCCACACCGCAGGGAGTCAAGAAACTTCTCTAAGAGGAGACTCTCTGTCCAGTATTTTGGACTTTCTGTTCCCATCACAAGGGAATCAGACACAGCTGTAGATAGGAAAGGGGAAGAAGGAACTCATTTTCATGTAATTACTTTGGCTTTTCTTCTGGTTGTTTCCTGCTAAGCTCATTAAAGGAAGAACATCTGCAAAAGGAGTTGGAGTAGTTGCAGATTGGTTTAATCAAAAACCTGAAATGCTTAGCCACCATCAGCAAGATCCAGTCTGAACCAAGTACACAGTTAACAAAAATCAGTCTGTGATCAGTTTCTACATAGAAAGCAAGCGAAATTTAGCAGAATACTGTCAAATAAATGTTTAAGGTAATATCTGACCTAATAGATGGTCCACAGTGTTGATTTCGCTATGGTAAGGAGTTAATACAGCCTAACATCTAATGCCTAGACTATAGTTATGCCATTTGTGTGCTGGAGGGCGTAAGGCAGCCTGTGGAGGATAAGAAGGAGTAAGCTACGCAGTGGCTGACTTCGAGAGGCTCCATGCAGCTTCCCAAGCCCGTGGAGGTGGCTGGTTATCTGCCTTCATGTTCCACAGTTCTGGAGTTCCCAACAGGACGGTGTGTCCCTCTCTTTGTTCTTCTTAATACACTTCTCACTGGACCTTCCTCCTCACTGCTCTCCTCAGAGCTGGAAACCCCAGTGCCTACTCCTGTGCCTGTTGGAGGCCTTTCATAAGGGTCACTTCGACATGAGACTTTCTCCTCTCGGCACTCCTGCCCATGTGGAAGCTTCAGGCTCTCATTGAAGAAGGCAGATGCCATGCACTCAGCTGCTGCTTTATCACAAGCACAGAGTAGTTTCTCACATATGCTCCAACCAATACCTTAAAAAGAAGTTTCAGAGTTAATGTTTCAAAGCAGTTAAAATTAGTCAATGTGTCTGAATGTAGTTTTCTCAGCCTGATCTGGTCACATTATACACAGTGGTGTAATAACCTTTATCTCATGGAGGAAAACAGCTCAAGTTGATAGTAAACATTGCTAACTTTTTGGAAGATCAATATTGCTGTCTCCGTACTTGGCTCTAGCAACTCGCAGGCATGGTGGCATTCAGCCTGTCAAACTGATAGACTTTCCTCAGGACATGAGAATTTCCTCTAACACAAACTTACATTTTGGCACGTGATCAAAACATAGAACTTCAGATCTCGAACTTCTTTCTGCATGACATCCAAGTTTCTTAACTTGTTCCATACAACAGTGATGAGAGAAGCAGCATCTAAAATAAACAGAGATATAAATAGAAAATACTTACTCTTCCTGCATCCCAGAGTGCTCACAATTATTTTTGTCTCTTTATTTTCAATGTCCATTAAAAGTGAGAAATTTTAGGCTTTATACCATGGAATTTATTTTCTTTATGTAAAGAAGAAAAACAATCCAAACTGTTTCTATTCTCCTCCCATTTCTACTTTCAGTTCCTCCTTCCTAATTCTTTTGGTGCCATGTATTTAATAGTGCTGTAGTTTTTTAGGGGGGTTATTTTAACTTTAAGGTATGTAATTCAAATGGTAACTATGACCTAATCTACTGTGAGATGTGTCTTCAAGTGTTCAAATCTTGGCTGAAAATCTGAAAACTGCATCATGATAGCCATTTCACTAGCCTTCATCTAGTCTGATTGTTCATGCATAGGCAGTTTGGTTTGTGTGTGAGTAGAGAATGGTGTGTGCTATATACTAAGGGTTATACTCAGCCTGATGTGCCGCAACTGTTATGAACTTCCACAGAGAGAGAGATTTTTAGTTGTAAATACGATACTCTCAGAGGAGATTTTTATTACTTTGGTTGAATTTTCTGCCTTACTCCAGAGTTCCTCCTCATTGTCAGCCATGCCATGACAGCACACAGTTGGTCACAGCAGGGCCCAGGGCTGCAGCTTTGGCAGGACTTTGCTCAAGCTCTCCTCTCTTCTGAAGGACAGTGCAGTGTGGGTGTAGGCTAGCTCTTCTCTTCATAAATCACTTTCCAAACCACCTCTTAGCCAAGTTTCACGGTGACCTTTATCCTCATCTCCTTTGATATAGTCTTCCTTCTGCACTGCTTACCTCCCATCATTCTTCTTTCTTATTTTGAGTTAGTAAGTCCTTTCCAAAACATTGCTGCCATAATAGAATGTGTCATAGTGACATTAGAGTATTTCATGTTTTATTTATTGAAGTGGATTTTTTTTTCCCCCAAAAATGTGACCTGACTACTGATACATAGCTATAGAATGCCCAACAAAATATGTACTGATCTTTCTTGGTCTATGGGCAAGCAAATAATACCCACAGTTAATGGCAAATATAGAAGAGCCCACACCTGTCTAGTGCATCAATAGGATGACCTCTTCCCTCTTGGCCACAGTAGCAACCATAAGACTCAAATTCCTCTGGGCAGCGTTCAGTTAAACAGAACAGCATTTCTCCAAGCTGGGGCAGCTCCCTCTTCACTCTTCCACTTCCTCTCTCTTGCAGAAAGGTTAGTCGCTCGCACACTATAAAGCAAAAGATGTTATTTGACACATCATTTTCATTGGTTGGGGTCTCTCTTACAACAATATAAGTGTTTTCAGAGCTATCAGAAACTTAGAAAGAAAACATTTTACTATCTCTAAATTGTTAGTTCCAGTCCATGAACTGTAGCTCTCAGAATACTGTCGTGCAAGACAGAAGAAATGGGGGGAAATATTAAAAGGGTAGAGGGATATAAATGACAAGTCAAATTGGATTGGAGGGTAGAGGGATCCCTATGAAGATATAAATGACAAGTCAAATTGGATTGCAATGAGAATACTTTGCAGTCCTTTTCAGTCCTTCATAGTTTGGGTGTTTTTTTTCTGGTATATTAAAACCTAGCTGAGTATTCAGTGTCTACTGTCTTGGCTAATTCAGCAATTACAGTCCTGACCTCTTGTGCTTGCTCAGGGGTAGCTGGGCAGTGGCTATTTTTCTGAAGGAAACAATATTTTCTTGCTTTACATTTGTAGTGTAGTTCAATTTGAGCTATGATGCCCCTAGTCCAAATGCAGGAGTGATCTGTTGTTATGGATACTATGCAGAGGAATTGATATTGTAGGAATGATGACTAAGGTTTAAGAGAAAACCATGTTCCATGTCAGGAAAAAGATGTCCAGAGGACCTCCTTTGGAACTTTTCCATGGAAAGGGTCTGATGGTTGGATTGCAGCAGACAGAGGAAAGGCTTCTGTTCCCTCTGCATCCTCCTTGCTCTCATGAGTAATCCCATCTTCACTTCTGCAGCTCTAGACCAACTCCTTGCATCTTCCAGGGACAACCCCTGGATTACTCTCTCATAGAAAATTCTGCCTGTGTGCCTGCTTGGGTCTTTGTTCACTCGTGTTAATCCACTGAGAAGTAACAGCAGGGTCGTGCATTGATATGTGTTCCCTAAAAGCTGGTGTTTTGCAATCAAATTTTCCAGTTTAGTGGAAGGTTGGTTTGATTCTTCATGTCTTCTGTTTTTCATTCCTGGGGCTGTGTCTCTCCTTTGGGAAGCCTAACAAGGTGGATGGACAGTCCATGAGTGTGGATTTACAGCAGTGACAAGTCTGACATGTCTTGGGATCTCTGAGCAGGAACTGGCACAGAATCAGAAATGGTGAGAAAAAGGCTAACTCTGGCAAGACTTTGGAAAGGGGTCAGAGCATGGAGCAGGGAAGTTCCTGTTATTATTGCTTTTGCTGCCTGGAAAACAAAGTAACTTAAAGACATGATAGAATTACTGGCTATAAACAAAAGCAAGGGGAAACATTCACTGAGCTAATTTTAGATCTTACACTGAATGAAAAATGTACTTACAGCTTAATAAGTAGTTTTTGTAAGTGTTACTGATAGTGAGAAAAATGTACTTTTTTGTAAGTAAATGTAGTTTTTGTAAGTGTTACTGATAGTGCATTGGCAGAACAGCTTAAACTGATAGAAGCTTTAGCATATGTCTGTATCTCCTGTTCTTATAGATACCAATACATGTGTGTTTATCTAGCTGGTTTAGACCAAGTATCATCTTTGTATGTAATATACACCTCCTTTTAATATAGAGGTAGCTGAATCAGACATAATGGGAAAAAAACCTCTCTTCATTTACCTTTTCCTGCAGGTTCATCGGGTCCCCTGTCAGACAGTCCCAGTCCCAGGGCTATTCCAGAGGAAGCTATGCTTGGGCCACCCCTTGCAGGGCTTGTCTCTGGAGGGGACAGATGCATGGACTAGATTTATGAAGGCAGAATAAACTCTTCTTTCAGTAATGTGTCCAAGAGCACATGTTTTGAGCCATAATCAACAGGCAGTCTTCTAACACTTGTTAATGCATCATGGGAGGCTATTCATTAATGGTTAGTTCAGCTTTCCTGGTCAGTTAGCAGTGAGCTGCCCTTTCCAGGGCAGTGAGTGTTGTGCCCCTGCATTCTATGTAACCTGTCTGGATTTAGGGAGAAAATAGTGTTATTCTGTGTATCCTTGAGAAATGCTGACTCCTCAGATGGCTGTGAACAGGAATAGGGGAGTGCTGTAAATCAGAGAAGGTGGAATTCAGTTTTTACTTGCCTTTTTCTTTTGTCCTAGCAGATGTGCCTGCATGAATCTTCTCGGTGGGGACAATTTTCCCTTGCATTGAGTTAATATCTCCTGGGAACGAGGCTGGGGAGGTGGTTATCTCTTCCACTGGGACTGCAGCTTCCATAAATCCATCTTCTTCTTCTGAATAAGCAGAAAGAGGAAAGCAGAAGAAGGCATGGAAAATAAACAGCAAGATTTTAATTTTAGATAGCTGGTCAGAGTAATATCCTCAGGCAGAACTACTGAGTTGATAGTCATAGAGACAAAACATTCAAGAGGAAAAGTAGAAAAGCAAAGAGTATCCACACTGGCCATTTCTTCACATCTCTTGCCTTTCAGAAGAAAGGATGCTGGTTAATTGTGACCAGTTTAACTGCTGATTCTTTCTATAAATTCAATTTCTGAGGCAAAGAACTGTGCCACTTGCTGAAAATCATGTTGGTTGCTGCTTAGTCAGCTGTACTAAGAGGCAAAGTGCAGGTGAGATGTCATGAGATGTCATTTTCTGAGTAAATTGCTTTAAAGAAGTGTCTGTTCACCTGAAGATTCCAAAACTCAGAGCAACATTAGTGAAAGCAGGAAATTATACTACTGATGCAGAACTGGATTACTGAAGGGTTTACTGTGCTCTAACCAAAAGGAGATACCAAGAGCAAAATAATGAATAAATACATTATTTTCAGGAGATTCTTTATCCTAAAAATTGAATTAGTATTTATTTATAGATTATCTGAGACTTTATTGATGAGCAGGAACGTTTTGGTAAATTTGGGGATACTTAACATCTTTTTTCCTTTTTTTTTAGAACCTTTTTGTATATAAGCTAGATTTAAAAACACTGTTACCAAATGGCTTCATTTTTTCTAAATGTCAGTATGAGGAATGTGGCATTTCACAAACTAAATACCTTGAACTTGAGTTTCCAGATTTTTAAAGCTTTCCTTTTGAACCCTTTGTCTGAAATTATTAATTGGACTAAACTCAAATTCATTAAATTTGTGCCTCTGATGTTCTGGTTTTAGTACGTGTTGAAAATAACCTGTCATAGGATAAGAGATTTAAAAAATGAAAGTACTGCAAAGACTCAACAAAGCCCCTGAAAGGGGCAGAAAGGGATCAATAGCAGCACACCAATCCTGACAGCTCAGAAAGATGCACATTTTATGCCACTTTGGTTGGCAGTGGTGTGTTGAAATGAAAGCAATTCCTGCTAGATGTAGAAAATAAAACCAGAGTTAGGGAAATTCTGCACATAGCTAAGAATAGATATTACAAATAACCTCCCGGGAGCCCTGCAGAGCTGCAACACAACACACAGATTTTCTGAGACATTTAAATTAGTGGAGGAGAACATTTAGTGATTTTTTGGCCAGTGCTTAGTACAGCAATGCTAAATTTCTGGGATACTGTTCAGACAGTGTAATCAGAGTTAAAAAATGACTGCTTTCTTCTCTCTGTAGTCAGTGTTCCTTGACATTTTCCTGGTGCATTTTGGCCTGCCTGAATGATCCTTTCTACACAAAACAGGACACAAACACTTCAAAGTCTACCAAGTTTTCACCTTTACCTACTGATACGGCAGTGCTCAAAGCACAAACACCTGTGAAAGCTGAAATGGTTTTAGACTGGGAAAGAATTCCATGAAATTATCCACAATAAAGGAGGAGACAAAATCAAAATGAACCTTTCTGGCAGCAAATGCTATGAATGTAATTTACAGGGCCAACCATCATATCAGAAAACCTTATGTGAAGAGGTTCTCAGGAATATTTGGATGAGGAGTGCAAAGGAGTGACAGGACACAAGGAACAGCTAATGCTTCTCAGTCTGGTTTTATTGTTTGTGTGTCTGTTATCTGACCCTGATCTAAATTTGCTTCTCTGGCAGCCCTCTGGTCACCATGCACAGGGGTTTAACTGTGATGCTTTTAGATGAAGAATTGCTGTGTCAGTCAAAAAAAGAGGAAAGCAGAGGGTCACTGACCTTTTATTGAGAGGACAGGGGGAGCAGGAGCTGTACCTCTGTGATCCCTTGTGGTAACTGTACAAAAAAAGAGGTATCATTTATATATGTTAAATACCTGCTGCATTTCTGCCATGCATTTCTGGAGTGGCTTTTACTGAGAGCTTCATAAAGCTTAACCAAGTGTCACTATTTGCCTGGTTTTATAAGGAGAGTAATTAGGAGAAACAAAGTGGTTTGCTGAAGGATGTGCAAGGCAGCAGAAGAACTGGAGATATTATCCAGAAATCCTGTGCTGCAGGTTTTTGACTGCAACACAGAGTTTCATAAATGAAAATCCATCTTCACCTGGAGTCAAGAGTGCCAAATTTGTCAACAAAAGTTTCATCAGACTCTTACCTCTGGCTTTGGAAGTTGCCAAGACCAACTTACTGGGCTCAAAAGAAATCACTGTTGAAGATAGAAAATATAAACTCAGAAATCAAGTTGCCAGCACAGACTCTTATGGGTGGTCAAGTGGCTGAGAAGATCTTTTCAGAAAACAGTCATGTTATGAATAGAGATTTGCCTATCTTTCTCAGTGGTGTATTGATTGTTGCAGTTAAAGTGATACTGATCAAATACTCTCATTGCTGCATGCAAGTAATGTACTTTACACTAACATAGGGTTCTATGACTCTATGAAGGAAGCAGCATAAATAACACTGAAGTGGGACATTCAATATTAGGTCCATTTTACAGACAAATAGACTAAACCAGGAAATTCAATATTAAGTCCATTTTACAGACAAATAGACTAAACAGGGTTAGGTCTGAAATCCCACAGAAGGATTGTGAACACCTTGTGTTTGCCTGCACTGAAAGTCAGGTATGGATGGGCAGCTAGAAGGCCAAATACCTCCCTAACCTCAAATTTATTTCTTTACCCGATAAAATTACTTTCTTTTGTCAGCTACCTTTTGATAAATTATAAGCATCATTTCTTTACTCGATAAAATTATTTTCATTTGCCAGCTACCTTTTGATAAATTATAAGCATGGATATCAAATTCTACAAAAGAAAATCATCTCTGCATCTTTCTGTGTGTTGTTAGGATGTTGTGATGTGAATAATACCTTTGTCTTTGAATGAGTTTCTGACTGATACTTAGCTTTGGCTTAATGCAACTTCCACAGTTGTCAATGTTGAAGCTCCTTTGGGCTTAAATGGGGTGACAACTAGTTAAATGGTAAGCAGAACTCCTAATGTTTCCTTCAAAGTCTGACTAGGTATGTTATCTGTGTTATGTTTTCAGATTTCTAAAGTTCCTGATACAGGTTTTTACCCCTTGGTAATATTTGGATCCTTATGATGGACTATGCCTCTTTAGAGAGCATGAGTATTTGTTTTTTCAGGAAGTAAAAGATTGCTACAGATGTGCAAATACAGATGCTCTCACTCCTTCAAGAGTTTTCATTTTTCTATTACCGAGTCTCCCAGAAGCAGCTAGAAAAACACAAATTAATATTGGAGCTGTTGCTAGGAGAGAACAAGAAACATGGTAAAAAACCACTTTGATAATACAGGGGAGATATATGAAGGAATAGCCATCAGTTACACTCAGCATAAGACCTTTTCAGGTATGTACACTTATTCATGTACTGCTTTAAAAAACTCATACCACCTTTTAAAAGTCTGAAGCATTGTTTAAAAAAGCTGCTTTAAAAAACTCAAACCACCTCTTAAAAGTCTGAAGCATTGTTTAAAAAAAAAAATCCATATGATTTTCATTATTTCAGATTCAAACTGAGGGCAATGGCTCACTTTGATTAACACAGTGGAACACACTACAGCTTGAAATCAGGTTCTTACGGTCTCAAAAAATGTAACTTCCCACCTATGCCCAGGCAACCTGGTCTAGTAGAATGTGTCCCTGCCCATGGCAAAGGGGTTGAAACTAGATGATGTTTAAGGTCCCTTCCAACCCAACCAAACCATTCTCTGAGTTAAGCAGTGGTTTGGTTGCACCCATCCACTGGGCACATACATGGTCTTTGAACAGGACAGTGTGGCTTTGTCTGTAATGGAGACACATGAGTGCAGCAGCTAAACTGGGCAATGGCTGGTCTAAGACTGGTCCCTTTCTCCATTTCATGCCTGTGTGTCTTGGCCCTCACTTACTAGATGTGTCCTCCCAGAACTACCAAGGGCTTTGGATGACTTTTGTCCGTGGTCTCTCGTATTGCAGTGCTCACCATACAGGCAGGGAGAGAACAGTTTTCTCATACTGCAGCAATGAGGTTTTTGTAAGCATCCATTCCTGATTAAGACAATCATTGATTGTGGCAGAAAAACAAATGAAGACTGTCTCAAGAACCACTTGGTCTCATAGTTTAGGGACTTACCCAGGAGGTACCAGAGTGAGAGGGGATTCAACCTGGATCTCTGTGTTACAAGTAAATAACCCAGCAAACTGCTGTCTCATTGCCACAAACCATGCTCAATCTTTCCTCATGCTGCTGCTTCATCTTGTATAAACATCTCTTTAAAGACACAAATCATGCAATTGGCAGTGGGTCCAGTGTTTGGCACCCACACAGAATGTCTCTGCCAAATGGCTCACCTGCTCCAACCTGTGTTCCCAGGGAAAAATAGGCTGTTTTGATGAAAATAGGTTTTGTTGTTTAGTGCTCATTCTCAGCCCTTGGGAAACTTCCTGTAAACACTGGTTAAACACATTGCATGCACAAATTGAAAAACTGCTCCTTCCTATTCAAGCTTGAATTCAATCACCAAAACATTCTATCTACTGTTACATCAGTCCTTTTAGAAGGGCAGAAAGCAAACAGCTTGTGTTTTATTCTTTCAGCTTTTGGGAGCTGAAAACAAGGCTTCTTGCACTCTTAAGTTTCAAACCTTCTTCCCCGGATGCAGTTGGATGCAATATTTCATCAGTCCTGTGATGAAGGAATTCTGCAAAAACAAAAGCATTCTTACTCCAGTGGCTCATGGCTGGATCTTGGCATAGCACGATCACAGTCATGAGAAGGGAACTTATTAATAAATATTATTATTATTATTGTGATTTTGTACACTTATTATATTATATAGATACATAAAATTATAAACCTAATTATTTATAATGATGGGAGCAGTATTAAAATCCTGCTTTAGCATTTATTCCCTGCTGATACTAAATTCTACTCAGCAACATACAGGATAATAATAAAAAAATAATCCCAAGAAGTTTCAACCTAAACAAGAGGAATTGGCTGGCAGTCAGCATTCCTTTAATTCCCATCAGCAGGTTATTTTTCTGAGTATAAATTGGTCCCCATTGAATACATTCCAGGCAAAGAATTACAGAGATGACCTACCCCCTGTGTGACGTGTTGTCAGTTCTGCCTTGCTGGATGTTTCTGAAAAAGAGAATGGTCTTTCATAGAGTAAAGTGTGAGAAGGGGATTTATTGCTGTTTGATCTCAATAGTACAGATCAGAAGTTCATTGAATGTATTCCTATTAAAGCAAAGATTTAGTCAAATATATACCCATTTCACGTCACTTTTTTGCTGCAATAAAGAAACTACCAAAATCCTTTTCCTAGAAATTTATGAGACAGGATTAATTTTTTTCCCCAAAGTCTGAACTGGACAGAATAACTACACAGAAAGATGATAATATGAGTGATCACTAAATAAAAATGTTTCATTCAAAGGATTTTTTTCCATTAAGAAATTTAATCAGGAGACCAAAATTAGCAAAGCTGTCCAGTGAGCTAAAATTGTATCTATCTTTATTAGCAGTGGTAAAACCAGCATGATTTTCCTGTTAGCACCTAACAATTTCCCCTTTATTTGTATTGTGTTGGAACTACCACGCTGTGTATTAGGGCTATCTGATCCCAATGAAAGATTATTGTTTTACACAAAAAAAAATAAAATCTGGCTTTGATGCAGACTTTGCTGGGCCATTTTGTTCTCCCTTGACCTGTTCAGGAGGGGATGCACATATCCAGAGCATGATATAGATGTGTGTGTCTGTTTGCAGCAATGAGGTCTGTGACTATGAGCCAAAGGATTAGAAAAGCTAACGTTGCTTTTTCACATATCCCTCAGTTTGGGAGTCCAGAGGTCCTAAGAAAAGCTAACGTTACTTTTTCACATGTCCCTCAGTTTGGGAGTCCAGAGGTCCTTCCCCTGCCATCTCCCATTGCAATCCATATGAATGAAGTTTTTAATGCAGTCCTGCTCCCACAGGACAGGTATTCAGCCTTGGAAGGCTCTAATTTCAGCTACAGAGCACAGATCAGCATATGACAATGGAGATAAATGTCTTCTTCATCTTTACCAGGGATTTTTCCTTCTAAAATGGAAACCAAGTAACTGAGCAGAGTAAGGCCTTTTTTGCTTTTCCACTTAGTTTTAGCATGGTTTAGGGGAAGGTTTGGGCTAGCAGTCCAAAATGGAAACAAGTAACTGAGCAGAGTAAGGCCCTTTTTGCTTTTCCACTTAGTTATAGCATGGTTTAGGGGAAGATTTAGGCTAGCAGTATTTTCAGCATCCCTGCTAATGACCTCAGTGCATCAGAAACTGCCACTCAGTCATTCCTGTTGGAAAAAGCCTCACGAGGTTGACAGGAGCTTCCTGAAGAGAATATTTCTTCATTTAAACTGGAATTTCCCTGCTGCAGTTGTGTCTTCTGACTCTTGTCCTATCCCTCTGCATCTCCACGAAGAGTCTGGCTCCATCTTCTCTACATAGCCCACTAGGTACTGAGGACAGCAAAAAATGTCCCCTGAGCCTCCTCCTCTTTCACCATGGGCTCTAGCCCCCTCCCTCCATCAATAACCTCTCCTGGACATGCTCCAGGACAGCAATTAGTCTGCTGCCTTCTTCTCTGCTGGTATTCACTTGAGTAGCAGTAAATGGACAGGACACATGAAACAGAGACCAGGACAGGCTGCCAGGTTTATGGCAGGAAAGCACCCAGCTACTGCTTCATTCTCCTTGGGCCACTTTTGATGCCAGCAGAAAAACTGGCAGAAGGAGGCAGTGGATCAGATCCTGATTATTACCTGTAACTGGAGATGGACAGAAGGAGACATCCAGTCCATTCAAGGAAGAGTTAATATGTGCATTCACAAAGCATTCAATGGCATCTTTGTCACAGGTGCAGAGGAACTGTTCACAGGGATCCCCAGATTCTGGAAATACAACAAAAATCCAAACAAGACACTATTGAAAAAACTTTTCCACCTCCTGATTTTTCCTCCCTGTAAGGTTTGTGTCTGTATTCTTTAGTGCAAACCTATTTATACTGTGCTTCTCCATGCTAAACACAGTCAAGTTTCATAGTCCAACACTGCCTTTGAAACATCAATGAATGCAACTTGGCATGGCTGGCAATAGATTTTTGCCTCTCTGATTCATTCTGCAGAGTATTGAGGACTACAGAGCAATGCTATAGTTTTTCCATGGAAAACTTAATCCAGCTGATACTGCATTTGACATTTCACAGACTTCATTAAAATAGTCCTCCTAACCCCAAGAAGTCACACTCCGCAAGCCAAGCCTTTCATGTGGCATTTTATTTGCTCCTTATAAAGAATGAATGAACCATAGAATGGTTTGAGTTTTACAGGACCTTAAACCTCATCTAGTTTCAACCCCCATTCCACGGGCAGGGACACCTTCCACTGGACCAGGTTACTCAATGCCCCATCCAACCTAGACTTGAACACTTCCAGGGATGGAGCATCCACAATTTCACTGGGCAAACTGTTCCAGTGCCTCACCACCCTCATAGTGAAGAATTTCTTCCTAACATAAGGGATATGAAAGAGTCTTCCAGGAAATACTATTTTCCCACTTCAAAATCTCCTACCTTTCAGAGATCAAAAATCCCCATTAACTTTCCATAGCTGTCACACGTTTCTTATTTTTGATGGGGACTATTCTTTTTTCTCTTTTCTTTTTAGTTTAAAGAAAAATGTTTTCTGATTGTTAAGTATGGAAAGAGCTGAAAAAGTACTATACAGGTTTAAATGCACTTGGGTATTTATAGATTGGCCTAAATAGCAAAAATGGTTTTAATTTGAAACAAGGAAAGGAAATTGGATCATATTGTTGCTTTAAAAAGTGTAAGGGTATTACTTTGGGGATTCTGCTCCTCTTTGCTGGTATTCTCAAATCATGTTCTTGCATATAGCCTTTTCTGAGAGCAAATACTTGATGAAAAATCACATTGAAAATGATTAGGCATTAAAGAACCCCATTGCACTCTTGTCAGGTCTGTAGTAACATTGCATGGAGTAAGTACCTCCTCCTACAACGCATTGTCTCTGCCCTTGCCAGGACACCATTGGAGCTGAGGAGTGTCCATGACCTTGTGAATAAATGTATATAAAATATATATATCAAAGTATATAAAAGCCAGGCCTTGATGCTTCAGAAGAGGATTGTTTTTCAGGTCTTTCCTCAGCATTGGCTAGGTTTCTGATGTGTGTAAATATCTCAAGCAGTTCTTAGTCGTCCTGCAAAGTCAGGGAAACCTCAGGAAGAGGCTGCCTGTTAGAGGAGCCCTGGCACAGTGGTTTCTGCTTAATTTGTCTATGACTTCTGGTGGATAGACCAGAATGAACTTCTGGTCATGGTGAGGCTCCAGTGTTAAGCTCTTGTGACAAGTTAATCTCACCACAGGTCAGGTTTTCAGTAGAGCAGCTGACATCTGTAGAAATCTTTGATGGGTCCCATGTGCACTCCATCTCCAATGCTTCCTCATAGCACCTGCGGTGCTGGAAACAGCATCTTAAAAAATGAAATAGTGAGTTCACACAATTTAGTTTCCATTCAAGATCAGACTGTAATGCTGCTGTGTTGCTTTTAGTCAACTAACCCAACAAACTCCTAATCAAACCTCTCCTCTCTTCAGCTGTTTGTACAGATAAATCATCTGCTTTTATATAGTAGCATCTATGTGCACTGACATGAGCTGTAAATGAAACACCCATAAAATGCTCAGTCATCATTTACCAAACATAAGATTGTTACAAAGATTCAAGAGGGGCTTGCTGTTAGATCTGGATTGAAATGTCTTCATTTCAGAGAACTGGACTCAGAAGATGGGTCTGTTATTGAAATGCCTTTGGCCTGGAACATGCTGAAAGCAAAGACAACATGAACACCTAAACTCAACATCTGCTGCCAGGAAGAGTGAATTTGTGATCACAATGCAAGGAGTGACCAATAGTTAAGCTCAGGTAGGATTTTTGTTAAAGACACAGTGAATGCTATTATACATCACCACAGCCCTGCATGTGCACCAAGCCCACCAGTGGACAGAAGCAGTCCTGCACTGACCAGAGCACAGAGCCTTGCCAAGCTCCTTTCTAGGCATTTACTTTCCTACATCCTATATTTAGAAAGCATTTAATATTTAATCACTATATTAATAAATAATGATTAATTTGTTCTCACAACCAGAGAAGCAGTCCAAGTCCTAACTGTGATCAGAATTTTGACTTGATGAAATGCACCAGGATGAGGTTTGCTCAGGTTGCCAGCAGTGGGTCAGAGCTCATGAACAACAGTATTCAGCTAATGAAGTTTCAAAGCCCAAATTCATGCACTCCTGTGTCTCTCTTGCCTGTTAGTAGTTTTGTTCCCTGCTGTACTCTGGGCTAGGAGGCTGCAGGAATATATCTACCAAAGGTAAGGGTAAATAAAATTCATCAGGAAGGCCCTCATGGCTCCTCTGCACCATGAATTCTACTGTGCCTTGCTTCAGAGACGAGGCTGAAGTCTGTGAGCTCCACCAGACCGAGGTTTCAACCATCTAATTGGTGATATGTCTCAACATACTCCTGTCTCTGCCTGAGGTCTAGTGAGGTGTTGCATCTGAAAGCTCCTCTAACTGCATAATTAGTCTAATACAAACTCCCTGCAGTTCTTGTTTAGAGCATCACAATTACAACACCACTTCCAGCAACGGTTAATCAGAAAATTTACTTGCTTTCTTTTTACAAGCAGGAGATTGTAAGATATGGATTGTCCTCTGGTCATGCTTCTCTTTTACAAGGACTATGGAGGTAAACTAGGCTCCTAATTTAAGATGTGACAATTAGCTACTCTGGGAAATGGGAAAAGATTGGTCTTATAGGCACTAATACTTTCTGATCCTCCCCAAACCTGCTATGAGGCATTTAGCCTTCTTAATGGAACAGAAATGGCAGGGACAAAACCCGAAGTTTGCAGAACTAGTTTCTGAGAAACAGAGTTAGTTAAAAAAAAAAAGCAACACTGTGGGAAATGTCTCTGGGAGAAACACATAACAGCCACTTGTTTAGAGGCTTTCTTGAACCAAGGGCACATCAGTGTCAGTGTCAAAGCCAAACCCAAACTCTGTTGCTGCACACAGCTGCGAAGGAAACCTCACCCCAGGGCTGCAAACTAATTTGTAAAACACAAACTGACTCTGTGGATGTTTCTCAGGACAAACTTGCTGATAGATTGTTCTGCAGTTTCTGGTTTTATGCTGCTCTGCATTAAAATGAAGCTGAGTGAAGCAAAAGACCAAGTGCTCAGTTCTTCAGGTATCAATCCATTGAACTGAGTTGAGCTCTCGTTTCAGGATGTCATCACAATTGTTCAGAAAACCTTTCAGAAAGAAGTTCCATGGCTTTTTTCCAGTAGCAGGGGTAGATCTTCATTTTCCCAGCCATCCCATGCTGGAAAGTGGATGGATTGATTTCCACCTAGTTATAGGCATTAGACCTTTCTGAGCCATCGCTCTCTTCACTCAGGGAATCAATACATGACATTGTTAAAAATCTTTTTTTACACAGACATGGATATATCTTGATTCTCTCTGAATTTCCTTTCAAACCTCCTGCAGACACAAGTGAACAACCATTAGATTGTCCTGGTCTGATATTACATTTTTTCTCTCTAGCCCAGTCAGGGTTTGGGGCAGTGTCCCTCCAGAGCACAGAGTGGAGTTTGGAAGGTTTTGTTCCTGGTGCATGGTACTGGGAAGAGTCATTGAACTACATGGCTCTTCTCTGGCCTTGATGCTCTGTGGTCTTACAAACTCAGCATGTACACAGGCACTCAGAGCAAGACATATTTAACCTCCTAATGCCACCTAAAGTCATACTTAGCTGCAACCTGATTCTGCTGATGCTTAAATCCACCTCAGATGTCAATGCTTTTAGCAGAGTCCACTATGAACCTATGTTGCTGGGTTCTTACACAGCTCCCAGTATCAAGTTTGCAAACCCACTGAAGGACTCAGGTTAGTGCTCCCTCACTTACCTTATTAACAAGGCCTCCAGTTTTTGTTACCAATATAATTGTGAGACAGAATTCCCCAGTACAAAGAAATTAATGAAGTTTTGTTCAAAAAGATCTGTTCAGAATGTGGAGACCTCTGGGTGAGACACATCAAGGAGATGGGTATGGTATTCACTTACTATATTGCATTAGTGTCCACTCTTTGCCACCAGTTTAAACCATCTGTGCCACCAGAGGTTCACTGGTGAAATTCTATGCAGCTGTAGGGGACTCTGCTTTTAGGTGTAGGATGGGAGTATTTCTCCATATCAAAGTGTGGGGAAATAGAGAGACACTGTGAGCTATGAGCAAAAAGAATCAAGTGGATCATTACATGCTGTAGATTCATCTGTTACCAAGCCATGCTGTAAGGCAACTGATATGGGATGTTGGCTCAGCAAAAAGATAGTGCTCACCAGCAAGTAGGAATAACACAGGACAGGGCTGATACACCAGAGCTGAAGCTGTCTTTTGTAGGTCATATCAGATATCTTGGTTGCAAGTGAGTGATGACTAGATGAAACAGAGCCAGGTGGTCTGGGACTTACCTCCTGAATAAATCTTATATTTTTTACAACTGTCTTTGAATAATTTATACAAGTGTTATCCTTTGGATAATCAGAGCATGAGGGCATTTAGAGCCAGTCAGGGCAGAAGAGGACATCTCATGGATATGACTTACTCATCAGCTTCATCCACGGGGAGCCCTTCCATCTCAAACCGGCAAGAGCAACCATAGTCTTCAAAATCCCTGGGACAAAACCCAGTAACACACTTCATTCTGTTTACAAAGTTGAGAAGGGCAGGGAAATTGGTGAAGATGGACTGCAACCAAGTGAAGTGAGAACCCAGGCAATCTGGAAAGAGAGCAGCCATAAAACACATGGTAAATGGAGGTGAGGTCACACTTGAGTGATGTTCACGTGAACACAGAGCCTAAACAAGGCAGTAGCACAGGGACATTGAGCAATGCTTGACACTCAGCAGTATTTCATATTGGAGTAGTCTTTGGGGAAATCTACAGCCTCAAAAATCCCTGTTTCTTCTCAGTAAATATATAAAAGCAAAATCCCCAGGATTTCTATTCGGTGCTCAAGTACAAAAGGAACACATACTTACCAAAAAATAGTGCAACACTTTCCACATTTTGAAAGACTCCGTTGAAAAGTGTGGCATTGTCTAGATGGAAAAATAAACAAACCACACTTATATTTTAAAAAATAAATTCCAATAACCATTCGTAGGCTGCCCCTGTCTTGCTTCAGATGTTAAACAATTTTGAGATGAGTTCCTAGCTATTTGCTCACAGCACACTTCCCTGCAAGGTTCCTGGAGTATGAGGGATACCCCACTGCCATGCAATATTGCAGAAATAAAGCTTAAACCATTCTTACTCAATATTCTTTCAGGTGTGTTAAGAAGCTCTG